GGAAAAGGTCAGAGTTGGGAAATGATCTTATTTGCTCAAACCCCAGGCTTCTCAAACTATGATCCTCAAACCCATAGCATCTGCCCTCACAGGAGAGAGGATTAGAAATACAAAGTCACAGGCCCCACCCTCAATTTACTGGGTCATAATCTGCATTTTAGCAAGATTTCCAGGTGTTTTGTATGCATATTAAGGTTTGCGAAGCTCCCCCAGGGGGTGTCAGGGAGGGAACTCTTACTAGGGTTACCACAGCTGACTGTTAAATTTTCAGGAACTGCCAGAACTTGTTAGTGGCCACACTGAGAGCTTGAAATTGGAGGAAGTATTTACATTATGGAAATTGGAAATCAAGGATTCTTTTTTTCTTTCTGAGAGCCACTTAAATATTTAACATCATACCCTTGTGTCTAATTGTTGCTGGTCTTCCTTTTTAACAGAGAAATGACCTCAGGCTCTGACAGTGTCTAGTTAAGTGCAAATAAAACATTATTTAAAATAACAGTCTCTCTGTGCTTCAGTTTGTGTATCCCTAAAATGGGAATGATGATAAAGTAATAACATTTACATTATGGTTATTTTGAAGAGTAGGTGTAAATACATAGCTGTGTGTACTCATATAATGTGTATGTATATATATTAGTATGTAGTCTTTCTTGGTGATTTGCCATATGCATAAGTATGTACACGTGTGAGTTGATTTAATATTATCCAAACACTTCCTAAGTGTTCAGTATTAATCTCTTTGTAACGAACAATATTGGTTTTCCATTTTAAAATAGACACTAAAAAAATAAGACTGTTTCAATAAAATTTAAGTAATAGTACAAGTGATTTAAGAATTTGGCAAAGTCTGAGGGAGGGTTATATGAGGGTGCTAGAAGTTCTGTGCAGGGGAGGGTAGTGGAAATGACCAGTACGGTTGAGGAAGGGTTTCGGTAGAGTTGGGATAACTTCTCCCCAGAGCTCTGCCACCATCTGCAGGACACTGACCAGAGCATTCCTACTTTCTCTGAAAAATGAGGAGTTGGGTTGGAATAGCACTCACCTGTCTCCCCATACCCTGTCCAAGGGATGGCACATATTTCTGTTCCCCCCAAGTCTTAGAGAAATCAAACGTGTTCTTCCCTCTTCATAAAGAACTGGCAGAGAAGAGGGTACCCTAATTGACAGGTACTCTGTGGAGACCATGAGTAGGATGAATTTGGTGGGTAGCGAGCAGATGCTCAGATCATGGATTAGAAGATCTAGTAAGTAATGATTTACAAACTGCCTGAGGTCCTGGATTAGTGGGTGGTCTTATTCTTGTTCATTGCTTGACTTAAATGCCCTTTCACACCTACCTGTTCCCCAGTTGGGTAGTTCCTTCTCAACACTCAGATGCCACTTTCCTCCAGGAAGCCTTCTTTAATGCTGCCAAGGTGAGTGGCATACCCATCACTCTGTATTTCCCTAACCCTTCTCAGCCCGCATTTCACTAAATACTGTCTCTATTTCTTAGTCTGTACCAATTAAACTCTTTGTTTCCTGAAGAGAAGAGCATTGACCTGTTTGACCATCTCCAGTGCCTGACAGTCAGTATACACACGTCAAATATTTATATAATGAGAGAAGGGGTTATGTTAAGAAAGAGAATTTTAGAGTTAGATTACCTAGATTCAAATAATGGTCTGCTGCTTACTGGAGGTGGTTTTGTTTTTTTTGGGCAAGTCCTTTAATAATTCTGCGCCTCAGTTTTGGACGAAACAGTGGGAGGCATAGTAAGCCTTATCTAACTGTAAGATATTGTGTTAATAGGTACTATTTTTGGCTATGCATATATTCCTTTATTAATGCATCCTTTCTAACTACAAAATCTATGTCACTGTATACAATTATTTGTATAGTTGAGTTTGTTACCACTTTTCACCTGATTCTGGTAAGTTCAGGTAGAGTACGCCTCATGTCACATTCCGTCCTGAGTGCCACTTGGTGGCTTCCATCAAGGAAATGTCTATTATGTGTTTAAAATGGGATTAAATGTTCATATCCCAGAATCATTAACAGAGCAGATGCCAGAATATACTTTCAGAGTATTTGGCACAATTTAAAAATAACTATATGTTCTAGCCTTTCCTAATTGCTTTAACAAGATTATCTCTTCATCCTCAAGATAAACCAGTTAGGTATTATTATAGTTGTTGTTGCTGTTATTGTTGGTAGTTGGACCCCAGATGTAAAACCGGTAAGTGCAGCTCTTTAACTAGAATTCAGTCCCCAGGCAGGCTGATGCTGGAGGAAACTCAAAACCCACTCAGGCTTCTTGTCTTTGTAGCACTCAGTCCAAGAAAAGGGCATGTAAGGCTTTTGAGCATTCAGGGATGGCCTGTCATATAGAAGGTGAATTTGGAGAGAGCATACCCTTTTTCTTGAAAAGTGTTTATTTTTTAATTTTTTAAAAATTTTTTTTAAAGATTTTTATTTATTTATTTGACAGAGAGAGACACAGCGAGAGAGAGAGCATAAGCAGGGGGAGTGGGAGAGGGAGAAGCAGGCTTCCCGCGGAGCAGGGAGCCCGATGCGGGGCTCCATCCCAGGACCCTGGGATCACGACCTGAGCCAAAGGCAGACGCTTAACGACTCAGCCACCCAGGCGCCCCTTCTTGAGAAGTCTTTAGACTGAGGCTACATGGACGGGATAAGGCTCTCCTTCCTCCCCAGCACCACCTACACCCTCCCACATCCCACCTTCTGGAAGGTTTTGGAGTGCCTCATGTCACTCTTGTACCTTGCACACTCCTTCTGTAGAGGTCACACAGCTGAACCCTCTGCTCTTTCATTTGACCTTTTTACCAAAGTCTCTCAAGGGCAGGGACCATGTCAACAGCACCTTCACGGTCTGACTTAGGAAAACCACAGGAACCCCAGTTCAGTGAGTGCTTCCCATGGGTTCCTGCTGCTTTATAGGAGTGTTGATTCTGACTCACCGTCCTGCCTGGAGGAATTATTATTGCCATTTTGCAGAAGAGAAAACTGAAGCTCAGAGAACTTAAGTATCCCATCCACCATGACAGAGACAGCAAGTGGGGTGAGCTGGAATTCAAACCCAGGCTCATGTGCCTCCCCAGCAGAGTCTGCAGCATACTACGGTGCTCCCTCAGCACCATCCCGACCCCCTGTCTAGGAGAGGGGAGCGTAGATGATGGCCGTGCTGTGAATGCTGGTTAAATAAGTAAGTGGTTTGGCAATTCAGAAAGATATTAATACTTGGAGATACTTTTATTGAGAATTTTCAAATTTTGTTTTGTTTTGTTTTGTTTTAAAGATTTTATTTATTTATTTGACACAGAGAAAGCACAAGTAGGCAGAGAGGCAGGCAGAGAGAGAGGGAGAAGCAGGCTCTACTGAGCAGGGAGCCAGACGTGGGGCTTGATCCCAGGACCCAGGGATCATGACCTGAGCCGAAGGCAGCCGCTTAACCGACTGAGCCACCCAGGCGCTCCTCAAATTTTGTTTTAAACTTGAGACCTGCAAAAGTCTGCCCTCACACTGGCACGAGAGAAGGTCTTGGTGGAAATCTGCTTTATTGGAAAGCTGGCCTTCCCTTTGTGTTCTGCAGTTCTGGGGGAAATAGAGGACGTCGTTCCTGGCTCTTGTTTTCTCTGAGCTGGTTTCCTCTGGAAAGCTTTTCTTCTCTTTAGTTTACAAAACAACTGCTGCTTGTACTGCTTCCCGTAGGCACTCATCAGGGTGGGGCCCCTTGAGGTATATAGTCCTCGAGATTGAGCTGGGCCCAGGCAGAAGGTAACAAGTGGGTGATCCCTCCCGCCATCTTGTTAGATCAGATACAGCCTGTGTTTGCAGCAGAATCCGGGCCTGCCATTTCAGCTGGCTTCACGAAGGCCACTCACTGCCCCAGCCAATGTTAACGACTTTCTTGCTTTCCCATTCTGAGCCAGAATGGAACCAGGGACCTTGGGGTGAAAGGTTCCCTACCCCATTGCGAATTCCCTGAGCCAAACCGATCCCGATGGTGTCTTGAGGAATTATTTTCCCATTTAATTTAATTCAGCAGGGCTTCTCTCTGGGATCTGCAGTGAACATTATTTCTTTAAAAATAATTTTTTTTGAGAGGGAAGAAACACATTTTGCCACGCTGAAGGTAAGCAAAAAAATGTATTTGACACCTCAGGTAATGGGGAATTTTTTGCCCATCCCTTTCTGAATCTCCTCAATTGAAAATTGTATTTTTACATATTTCATTCCCAAAGGAGCTTTTCATAATTTAAATCTCCTGTTCAACTGTACATTTGGAATGGGAGCCCTGACACCATCCTGATTATAGCATACATGCTGGACATTACAGAATTTCTCTCTGGGAGCATTCTAATTTTATTCACTCATTATTAGCATCCTGGCAGAGAATTGCACTCTGCACCCCGAAGTGGACCATTGCTTCTGATGCCTCGTGGCAGCTAAGACTGTAAAAATGGGAACTTTCCTTTTCCCATTCTCATGTGTAAATCAAAAAAAAAAAAAAAAATTACCCATTAGAGGCTAGTTTCTTCTTATAGCTTAGCATAGAGTGAATTAGGACCCATTTTTAAATCAGAAGAGAGAGAGAGAGGGAGGGAGGGAGGGAGGGTGAAAAGAAGGAAGGAAGGAGCATGCAGTCTCTGCTATGTACTATGTTGCACGTGCCCCAACTTGCATTACAAAAAAAAGGAATGGTGAGAGACAAGGAAGGAAGGGAGAGAGGGGAGGAGGGAGAAAGGAAGGCAAAGAACTTCTGTTACTTAAGTGGTTTGTGATAAGCAACATAGGTACAAAATAAATACTAAAATCTACATAAAGCTTAAAAAAATAAGAGGATCTCCTCCTTCTGACTCCTCAGATCCACTTTCTTAACTCAAGAGTTTGGGAAATACCTGCTCTTGTTCATTTAGGTGCTTTTAGAAGGCAGTGATTTTGTTTTAAGACCTGTTGCCGTGGACCTTTAGCTTTCTCTCTCCTTGTTTTTGCAGGAAATTTCAACGAAAAGGAACACCAATGGATCGTAGTCTTAGAAAAGCGGCGTAGATAATGTCTGTTTCCTGTGCTATAAACTCGTCGCAGAGCTGTAAGTAAATGCTCCGCACTGCATGATGAATTGGATGGCTGCAGACCGGAGGCAAAAAAAATAATTGTCTCATTTTCATGGTGATTTGCTTAACTGGTGGGACCATGCCAGAACGGCTAGCGGAAATGCTCTTGGATCTCTGGACTCCATTAATAATATTATGGATTACTCTTCCCCCTTGCATTTACATGGCCCCGATGAATCAGTCTCAAGTTTTAATGAGTGGATCCCCTTTGGAACTAAACAGGCTGACTGAAGAACAGCGGATTTTGAACCGCTCCAAAAGAGGCTGGGTTTGGAATCAAATGTTTGTCCTGGAAGAGTTTTCTGGACCTGAACCGATTCTCGTTGGCCGGGTAAGCTACGTTTTTCAGATCCCAATTTCAGGATCTGTTTCTCCTCTTTAGATCTTTAACGTCAGACTTGTCAGGATTGTTGGCACACTTAGCTGTAGTACTTTAGGCCAGATGGTTAGTTTAGTTACCTATCGGTTTCTTCGGGAATATGGATAATCCCACCATAACAGTTTTAAATGTACACAGACTGGTCCTTTAGTGAAGGCTGATCTCCCCGACCTCTCTCACCCCGTGAGGTACAATAATACTTGGGTCATGCATGTACAAATAAGCTTTTCTTTCTTATTGCCTAGGAGAAGTCTGCACGCCAGACTTTTTCTCTAGCTTAAGTATTTGGAAGAGGTGTACATTATTGTTCAGTTTGAATTTCTACGACCTCAATTCCTAAGATGTTATTTGTGTCATTTTGTTTCGAGGCCGTGTATCTCCAGTTGCAGGTAGATTTTTCTCCTTTCTTGTTTCAGTTTTGTGGTTTGTTTGTTGTTCCTGTCATTAACCAAGGACGGAGAAAAGGAAATTCTTGGATGGATGCTTCACAGTATTTGTACTGTAATTCAGTAAAATTTGCAAGAGGAAACTAGTTCATTCGTTGTCAGATCGGATCAAATGTATGCAATCATAATTTCAGACAGTGCGGTGTGTGCGTGTGCGCGCGGGTGGATTTCCATTGGTTTGGTTGTTGTTGGCAGGTTAGACAAATGTTCCTTGTGTAGATGAGTGTTTTCCAAAATCACACTGTTGGTTATTGAAGACTATACGTGGTTTTTCTCTCAGAAGTGTTCATAGGCTTCACATACTATCATCATAGGTAGAATTCCAATTATAAGCCTGCCAATGGCTGATTTTCCTAAGTCAGATTAAGAAGTGAATCATGCCAATATTATTCATTTCCCAAAAGCAGCGATTTAGAAGAAATTAGGAAGAGAATGAAATATTGATCTTTAAGACCCGAGTTAACTCTAACTCTTTGTCTTTTCCTCGGAACTTTTGAGTACATTCCTGCTTCTACCTCATTGTCTGGCAAAGCAAACTGAGACTCTCCAAGGATTATGTTTTCTCATTGCATATAGTTAGTCTACTTGGGTGAGGAGATATCATGAATCACTCAATATTTAATAAGCTCTTTCTATGTGTATGACACTCTTTTAGGCACATGGGAGTGTATCAGTGAACAAAACCATGATCTCTGCCTTCAAGGAGCTTACACTCTGGCCAATATTGAGTGTGTATTATGTATTGACCACTAATATAAGAGCACTTAGTGGGCACAATCCTATTTGATTCTAACAATAGCTTTCCCCCTATTTCTGTATATATATATATGTATGTGTTTATGTGTGTGTATATACACACATATACAAACAATATGTGTGTAAAATACATCCACACACCTCTTTTCACATGCCTAAAATATAAAAATCTCTGAAAGGTTTTTTTTTTTTTTTTTTGGTATGCCTGATATGAACTCAGGTAGTAGAACTGACTTGAGGCTATTTATAGTCATAATGCATCCCATTACTTTGACTGTTGGTGTGTTTCCTGGCGGAAACGTTAATGTGCTTGAATACAGGGTGCTCCTGCTCAGGGTGCTGCTCACCATACGGTTTATGTACCTTCGTATGTTTCTAAATGTGAAAACTTCTGAATTTCCAAACACATCTGGCCCAGTGGGTTTTGAATATGGGCTTCTTGACCAGCACTATGTTTTTTGTTTGTTTTGTAAGTACAGAAATTGAGGCTTAGAAGGGTTAATAAAACAAGGTCATAGAGCTAAGAAAAGTTCTGAGTTTGAATCAAGTTGGGGAGTCCCACGGCCATAATTTTACCTGCCATATCCTGTTACATTTTAGTAACTAGCTGCCATGGGTTTAAACCATCATTTGCACTTA